AAGCAGTCCAGTAACATCACTAAAATCGCAATCTCACGCCGGCTTTCCAGACAGTCTTACTGATGCTGGTGTGTAAATCATCGAACGACTGCCGAACTTGCATTTTATGCGTTTGATTTTAGCCAAAACTGAAGATCCCGACATTGGATGTAATTGATATCATTGGGTATTCCTACTGCGTTGATCTGGATCGGGCAGAGATCAACCGGAAACGTCTAAAGCTAGCGTCGAAAACACAACAATTTGCAAATCGTTTGTTGATCAATGCAACTGGTTTGCTTGATATTTCACACCAGAATCCAGTGGTACTCACTTGGCCACAGAACAAGAACTGTACTGTGCTCAGTGGTGTTACTGGTCGAATTCTTTAATCCTGAGTTTCACCCCTATTTTGTATTTTTACCTAAGGAATTGAATCCTGAATATTTACTTAATTGAAATATATTTTTTCATCGAATCTACTAGTAAAATCCCTAACCTAAATTTTTGTGCAGTATGTGATAATTGAAATTTTCTAAACTGTTTTGAGAAATCTTTTGCAGTGAATTCACTCCCACACTTTTATTCGTATCACTGAAGATTTGCTTCACTAATAGACATCCAAAAGGATCATCCTGCTCTCAGTAGAAACCTCAATTAACACTACTTGAGTACTATTCAAAATTCGCTAGGATAAAGAATATTAATTTTAACTGTATTTTCTGTTGTGTCTAGCCATTTGTTACCCCCCCCCCCTGCTTCTGTGTTTACCATTCACGCTGTATGATTAATTATACCTTTTGATAATGATTCAATAAAGAGCACACACCAACACAGTTCATTATAACCTTCAGAACTGTGATCCTAATCCGTAGCAGTTTTGCTTGCCGAATAAAATCCAGGCCGGAACGCACCACGTTTGCCGTTCGATCACTTGTTTTTACATCAAGCTTGAAGTAATTAGATCAACTACTTGAATGGTTGTTGCTTCACACCTACTATGCGCGCTCACTCCATAAATCATCGTAAACGCTGCATGAACGAAAATAAACAATTCTCGTTTAGCGACCGCTTTTATGCGTTTTTGCTTGTATGCAAATGCAACTCAGGCTGAAACGCACCAGGTTTTCCGTCGCGAGCATGCGTTTTTGCGCTAAATTCGCAGACCCCTATTAGCAGGAATGATCCCTACGTTGTAAACCCCTATTAGCAGGAATGATCCCCACTTGGGCTCATATTGGCTGTACTTTGGTCCTTTTCGGAATACAGGAGCAAGGGCGTCAGTTGGGATGAAGCTGATTCATTATAGAGCCGCACGGACCTCCAGGTACATGATTACTAGTTTTTTGCACGAAGCGCGGTCGTTTTTTCGGTAAATGCTCGCTTTGTAAGAAAATGACAAATGCAAATTTTCACCAAAAAATGGAAGTATT